ATCATTTTTTAATTTTTATTTTCCAGTGCTGGGGATCAAATCCAGGGCCTTGGGCTTGCTAAACACTTCACCACTGAGCTACTACCACAGCCCAAGAGTCAATGTCTTAAAGAACAAAAGATCCGTATTTGTTTTAATATTGCCTGCTCTGACATTTGATTTTTATTTTTTTTTGGCACCAGGGACTGAACTCGGGACCTTGCGCTTGCAAGGCAGGCACCAGAACCACTGAGCTAAATCCCTGGCTTGACATTTGATTCTTATCTAGGATTACAACAATTTTTGAAATAATTCTTGTCCATTTCTGACACATTGTAGGTATTCAATAAATATTAATTCTCAGGTTCTCCTGCATGTCATTTCCTGAACTATGATAATTAGGATACCGACTCTGCATCATTTCTATATTGTATTCACAACATTCATGCAAAAGACATCCTGATATACTTTTGAATCCTTGGATTCAGAAATATCAAAGGACTCATGTTTTGCTCAAGTCATATTTCCATTACAAATCTTATTTTCATTTTGCATATATTCTTGATGAACAACCAGTCATCTTTTTGATGATCACTTAAATTTTATCTCCTTTGAGGACACAGCCAGGCAGGAATAACTATGCCACTTTCCATGCAGGTTTTAGACTGAACTCAGTACAGCAGGTGGTTTTGCTCCTTGATACCAACCTTGAAAAGAATTGTCATGCTTCAGCAAAATCAGATGATTCGAAGCCGAGGGGGCTCCAGGGATACTGTTGTACTGGATAATCTTGCTTATGCTGTGGTAATAATAGTACTAGCTATTTCAATCATAGTTACCTGTTTGGATTGCTTAATTGATATCATAAAACCATCCTAGCAACTTTATTCACTTGTTGTCAGCCAGATGAGGGCTCACGTCAAGTCCAACTTGTAGATGAGAGCGAGGCATCATAAAAGTAAATCTTGAGAGGACAGGAAAGGGGTCACCAAAGACTGTCTTCTACTCTGTTCCCTCTATCTTCCCTATTTTAACCACTCCTTGGTATCTTTCCCTTTTTCTGTATATAAAATGGTTTGGCCTAATCATTTCAATGAATTCCTACTCTAAGAAAATACAGACACCCAGAATCACTTTCTGTAGCTGGGCCCCTTTGTAGGAAGTGAGAAATAATAAATGATCAGAAAGTAAACACAGTGGCACTTCTTGGTGAATGCATTTAAGTGACACATGCAGGTCACAGGATGATGGGAGAGTTAGGGTTTGAATTCGATTCCGGGCTCTTTATTCTGTGCTTACAGCTAAGAGAGTATAGTACAGTGCCCCAAACCCACGTTCCAGTGTCTCCTAGCTGAGACCCTGAGTGTCAACTTCTCTAAGCTGAAGTTTTCTCTTCCATAAAATGGGAGGAGTAGTAGTATCTCTCTTGGGGTTGTTCAGAGGATTAAACCAGAGAATATAAATAAAGTCCAGTGTTCCTCAACACCACTGAATAGGTATCCACTTTTGCTCTGTTCATTAAAGGAGATCTGAAGAGCACAGCACATAAATGCTGTAGGAGCGGAAATCTATCAAGGGGAAGGGAAATACTCTCGCTTCCTTTCTTCTCACTTTGAAATAATCGTAATCATCACTAACAACCTCACTGAAACAACAGATTGTTTTTGAAGGAAAAAAAAACCCCCATGCACATTAACTTTCATTTTCTCGGCCAAATTGCATGCTTTTTTCTGTTTTCGTGACTCTGACTCATGAAATAAAACATGCCTACAATCTTCCCCTCCAACACAGTAGTTCTCAACTGTGGGTGACGTAAGCCCCGCCTCCACCCCAAAGGGACATTTGGCACTGTCTGGAGACATTTTTGGTGTGCTGGACTGGGGGAGGAGTGGTATTAGCATCTCCTGGGTAGGGATGCGCAATGTTGCTTAGTATCCCACACTCCGTGGGAAAGGCCGACAGCAAGAAGCCCACGTGTCAGCGGTGCAGTGGAGCAGTCCTCTCTAACCTCTGCTGCTGATCGCTCACTGCAGGATGCTGGCCACTGGCCGTTAGAGCATCAGGGCCAAGTGCAGACTGAAGACTGCAGATCCGAGAGATGAGACATCAAAATGTGGGTGACTGAGGTCTCCCTGAGTTTCTACAAAGTAGGAAGTACACAAAGCCAGGAGCAGAATCAGATCTCAGTGGTCTGGTGAAATGGACAAGGGTAAGATTTTTCAGACAGTGGCAAGCTCAGCCATCTCTTGATGAGTGTGATGAAGTGGCACACTCTGCCCTCTGCCCCTTCACACCTAATCTGTGATCGTAAGATCAAGGGCTACCGAGTGAGTTGATTGAAAGACTGCAAGTGCTACTGAAAGAACAGACTGAGGACAGGCAGTAATGTGTGCAAACGGCTCTGCTTCACTTCCCAGATGTTTCTCTCATCACTTTTGAATGTAATCACAGTCATTGGTGCTGCGTACTGCATGTTGGTGTCTATCCAGGCTCTCTCAGAAGGTCCTCTTGTTTGTAACTCTCAAGTCAATGGTACTGCCAATTGTAAATTTTCGTGGAAAAACTTAACGTAAGTAAACTGACTTTCACTTTCAGTCATATATAGCTGCAGCCACGTTAGATAACACAGTATGCAAACAATCCCATGTTTTTCTTTGATGCAATTACTGGAACAAACATTCTTAGCGATTTAGTTTATTAATCTCCAAAGGCCCAATCTTACTTAGAAATGAAGGAATCAGAACCTTCAGAATGCTTTAGGTATGGTTTTATCTACCTGTAAAACCAGCTATTCGGGGGGTTGAGGTAAGAGGAGTATAAGTTCCAGGCCAGCCTGAATAATTTAGTAAGAGCTTGTCTCAAAAAAATGCTTAACGAAAGGGCTGGAGATGTAGCTCAGTGGCAGAGTGCTTGCCTAGCATGCATGAGTCCCTGTGTTCAATCCTCAGTAATGGGCAAAAAAAGAGAAAACTATAATATATAAACATACCTATATATGTATATATATTTTCCCCCTGGAAATATACAACCTGAAACTTTCACCCTTAGAGAATGGCAATGGGGGACACCCTGGAGGAAGGAAGGGTACATTTACTTTCTACACTTTTAAACTAATTGCATTTGTAAACTATGGGTGTATATTACCTCTACAATAAAAATTTTAATAAAAACAATAAAATCCTTGGTTGCAGGTCCTAAAAGGCACAAAGCAGCCAACAGATTCATGCTGACATGCTATAGATAGGAATAAATACTAAAATTAAGTCATGGAATAACAATACTGAAAGTTAATGTAAAGAGCTCATTTCAGTCTTTAGGATGGTTCTGTGCCTGAATGTAGGCATAATTTGTAAAAACTGAAAGAATGATCTAATTTATTAGCTTTCTGTAGACTATTTCAAAAATAACCAATTTTACTTTTGTAGTTATTTACATGAAGAAATATTTTCCCCTTTTCCCATCACCTTGATACATCAAAAAGAATAAAGTCTCTCAAAATCTGCACAGCAGTTATTCAGTTATTATGAATTAAAACCCGTATGAACAGGTTTGAAGAAGAGCAGAAACTTCCACCACAATTCCAAAAACATTCAGTCCTTGGGGAATAACGGCTCCCCAAGGCAGCAGGCAGCATGCTTAGCTCTGCAGACCTCAGCTCTCAGGCCCCTCCAGGCTAGGAGGAGGCAAGTGAGGCTGTGATTCATGACCCTGTTCTCCTGGCCAACTTCACAAAGCAGAGGCATTCATATTCCATGTGCTGCAAATATGGTTGTTTTCTCAGATCCAAAGTCTTGTTAGAATCCAGAAATACAAACTCCCTAAGAACACTCCATCCTACTAAGCAGAGAAAAAGCACCTTGAGACAGCTGTGTGTCTAAAAGCTTTTCGTTTTCCATCATCCTGTTTGAACAGGGACAGATCGACTGAATCCGATATATCTGAAATGTTCTGTGAGTGAAAACCATACATCTGGCTTACAGCAGATGCAGCACTGCAGTTCAGCATGAAGACCTGAGCTCCTTCAGAGGGGAGCGGTTGTGTTTCTGTATCTTTAGCCAGTAGGAGTGTCTGCAGAAACAGGTTGAAGACAGGCCATTCTTGATATTGAGTCATTGCAGACATAGCAAAACAGTAATTTCATGGGCTCACCCTAAAAGTAGGTGTTCTATAGAAATGCTTATTAAATGATGGGCTATAATGAATAAAATCTTATAACTGGATACATGCTTAGTAAACCTGGTCTTAGGTACAGTTGTTGGGCACAATATTTTAAAAGTGCATTGTTTGACTGTTCCTCACCTGACCTGGGCATAATATTTACCATTTCTTATGTTTTTCAGGGACATTCATTTACAACCCCTATTTCTGCAATGGTTCTGGAATGATTCCTGTGTGTCTCCTACTGGTTCCACAAAACTCAACACCAATAACAACATGAGCACTAGCTGGAAAATACCCAGCTCCAATTCTGAAGAAGACAGATACAGAATTTTCCACTTCTCGGTGTTCTTAGGTCTGCTGCTCGTTGGGATTCTTGAAGCCCTGTTTGGGCTCAGTCAGATAGTCATCGGTTTCCTTGGCTGTCTGTGCGGTGTTTCTGAGCGAAGAAGCCGAATTGTGTAGGTTAGCCAAAGTAAGACAGAAGTCCTGGTACTCTGAACAAAATTTGAAAATTACACTGCTTTTAGGAGAATAAATACTTTTAGGAGTTCAATAATGGAACATTATCTACAAAGCTGTTTGAGTCATTTTAGTACACAACGTTGTTTCTCAAGTCATCTTTCAGGTGATTTAAAAATCCACCCTTCAAACAGACAGCATGTTGCAAACACGTAACAACTTCATGTGGGAAGAAACAAAACCCTTACTACTTGATTTGGGGGAAAAGTGAAGAAAAGCTTTCAATTTGTTATATTTTTTTGCTCCGTGTTGTTTAGTTTTTCTAACTATGTATTCTATGTGTGTGGAGGGTGAGAGAGACCTAAAAGGGAGGGAAAAATGAGAACAGAAGTTATCCTGGATGCGCAAATAATATGGTGAGTTTTTATTATATTCTTTTATACTTAAGAAAACAATATAGATAGAGCCTGAAGGTAATCAAAGTCTTTGGACCTAATTACCAGCTTACAGGGAGAAGAAACTGTCAAATCCAAAAGGTGGGACAGTAAACAATAGCTCCATTTTCAACAAGAAAATGTTAGTGAAAAGCTCCACCAACCAAAGTGGTGGGATGGGCTGACGCAACCGTCCTAGATTTAGAGAACAAGAGAAGCCAGGCACGGTGGTGCCCGTGGGAAATCCCAGTGTTCTGGGACATGGAGGCAGAGGCAGGAGGCCAGTTTAGGCCTTGCTCTCACAAGGAGAAGGACTAGGGACGCAGTTCAATCCACAAGCCCTGGGTTCCACCCTCACTACTGGTTAAAAAACCCAAACAAACAAAACACTGAAACAATTAAAGGCAGGTGGGGGCATGTTTGAGCTAAATGTATTACCCAGATCTTAGTAGGGATAACTGGGGCAAACATACACAACAATTGGGTTAAATGACATTAAGAAATTAATTTTGCTAGATTTGATAATGGCGTTATGGTTATACAGGAAAATGTCTTTAGTTTTTAAAGAAATGTGTATTTATATGCTAGAGGGATGGTCATGTTTTTAAAATACTTCAACCCCCATCCCCCCAAAGCAAGTTAAAAAAAATGTTCATTGTTATAGTTAAGTGACGGGTACATGGCAATTTATTATACTCTATTTTCCTACATTAACATTTTTGTAATAATTTTTAAAAACGCCTTGGAAAAAGTCAGTCTTTCAAAAGCTGGTTTCTACATATGACAACCATTAAAAGACAGGATAACCAAACCATGTATTTTGTCATATTAAAATGCTCTAAAACAGACAAAACTAAAGAATCTGTTATTTTCTGAATGCTGTCACTTCTGCATTTTATTTCCATTTTTAGAATGTTTGTTGGGCTTAAGGTTCCAGAAACATCTGACATTATAGCTGTCCAAATAAATTAGTAACATTAAAAACTTATGAGTTTATTTAAACTCATTATTTTATTGCTACACTCATTTACTACAATCCTACACATGCTCATTTTTTGTAATGCCTGGCTTAAAACCTGCTTGAGGAGGCCTTCTCAGCGTACTTAATTCCAGTGAGTTAGCACTCAACAAAGCCCCGATCATCATTCCCGACACACGTAGCAGGCATTTCTGTACACCGTCACTACAGAATTTAGGAGAACAGGGGGCCATGTCCTCATCCATCTATTCATCAGTACTTTCTACTTAAGGTACTTAAAAGGCCTCGATCTCTACCTCCTATACCCCACCTGTCTTGTCTCTGGTTGAGTTGTCTTCTTTTTTTTAGGGCAAACACCACTTATTCCCCCCGAGTGACTAGGCTTAACCAGCTAATGAGAAGTGGGTTCCTTTTCCTTTTTTGGCACTAGTGATTGAACCCAGGGCCTCCGCACTGAGATACATCCCTAGCCCTTTTCATCCATCCATCTATCCACCTCCCTACCTGTTTTGAGACAGGGTCTTGCTAAGTTACTACGTTGCTCAGATTGGGCTTGAACTCATGACTCTCCTCCCTCAGTCTGCCAGTGTTGGGGTTACAGGTGTGCACCAGCACCCCAACTTTACTCTCTCCTTCACAGCATTTATCACAATGGCAATAGCATTTCCATTTGTGCTTGCTCCTCATATTTCACTCTCTTGCGTAGGATCTTAAGTTCCATGGGTCCAAAGACATGTTTCTTCTATTCATTCGTGGAATAAAGATGTAGCAGAGTCTAGTACAAAACAGAGCCATTGTTAAATATTTTGTGAAATGAATTCAGTTTTTAGTGAAGACTCCATGCTTATTCAATGAATGTCAAACTGCTAATTGGCATGAAATTAAAACAGGTAAAATGAATACGACAGTCCACTGTCCTTGAGTGAACAATACCAAGTCAATGATGACGCTTACAGTTTCCTTTTTATCATACCAATGGGAAACATGATTCCAGTTCTCTGCAGGGCAGGGAAGACAGAGACACTTTCGTCTCCCATTTCAGAGCAGAAGAAAGGATGACTGGCAGTGCCACAATCAGCTGAAATGGCTGGTGGGTTCCTCATTCTTTACAATTATGGAAAGTGCTGCCACGAATTAAACTCCTGCAGCCTTCGGGCTACTCGTGGTATCTTTTGGGAGTACAGCATCTCTGACCTGGTACCTGAACTTCCAAATGCATGTCTGTACACACATAACCACACACCTTCCCTACCAACCCCCCAAATGTACCTAATCATTTGCAAAGCTCAGTGTGTGTGTTTTCCTGGCTGTACTGGAGACTGAATTCAGGGCCTCACACGTTAGGCAAGTGCTCTACCACTGAGCCATATCCCCAGCGCTTTTTAATTTTCTGAGACTGGGTCTCACTGGGACTGAGGCTGGCTTAGAATTTGTGATCCTTCTGCTGCAGCCTCATGAATAGCTGGGATTACAGGTGTGTACCAAGATGCCTGGCTCAGTGTTTCTTAACTCTCATTCCCATCCCTAAGTTCTATTTCACTCTGGAATCTTTATGGCTCTATTTTTTTACTGCTTCTGTCATCTAAAACTCTCTGCTCCCTCCCTATCCTACAGTACCTACTCCAAATTCCTCTTCCTTAGTAAAAACCAAAAAACCCCCCAAAAAACTCGTTTTTTTGAGACAGGATCTAGGGATCAAACTCAGGACCTTGTGCTTGCAAGGCAGGCATAGCATGACTGAGCTAAATCCCCAATTGTGCACCACCACACCCAGCAGTAAAATTATTTTTATAATCCTCTCATTCTTTAATAAGCCGTATCTCCATGCCCCCATTAGTCTGTCAATTCCTCAAGAGTGGGGTTTGTGTCATATCTTCCGTAACTGCTTAGTCTGTGTTCAGTATGTAGATATACAAGTTTGCACTTACCGATATAATTCACTGTAATCAAAAGAATGTTTATGACAAACACTTCTAGATTCAAGGCCCAGAAAAACAATTCAATTTCAATTTCAAAAATAGCTAAGAAGCTGAAAAACAGACATGTGTGCAGGAAAGGAAGGAATGCTTTCTTGAAAATACACTATTTTCACAAAATCATCCCTCTAAATGTAAACAACTTGCAAATGCTTCAGTAAGTATTCCCAGAACTGGGAGAAACAAAACAAAACAAAAACACACCCCAGAGTTCTGGAAATAGTGTAGCAATAATATATTTGCTATTCTTAACTGTATACTTCAGCCCTCCACTGTGTTCTTTTCTCCTGCTGCTCCCTGCACCTGGAATCTTATTCTATATGGTTTGCTTGCCAAAAATCATGTATTTATAACTGTCTATCAATCAACATTCAACCCAAACATCTAAGAAGTATTTCCTGTTTATCTTGACCAGGAGTGCATTCACTCCTTTTAACCTCAAAAATACTTGCTTTCTTAGCAGTGATCAGTAACTTCTGGGGGAAGTGGGTTGGAATAACAGTCCGACTTGGAGGTTGAGTCAAGCCCCTCGACTTACAGGTATGCGACAAGGTCAACAAAGGCATGTTTTTGTTGCCCCTTTTTGAGAAAGATTTCTCATTCCCCTTGTCACGGAGGGGGCAGTGTTTGAGGTCCCCACTTCGGCCATGGGTCTCCCGTTAACACTCAGAGCCCGACCAAGGAAAAGAATTCTATCTTCTGCAGAACCATTAAGAAAGCCAGGGCTTCAGTGTTTGGTAAAAAAATCACTAGGGACAAAATAGCTTTTGTACTCATCTCCCAAGATTCCTGCCTCCAGTCCAGTTTTGGCTTTTGTGGAATTCTTTTCATTCCTCTTTAGAAGAGGTGGTAATTTTATCCGTTATTTTTATTGTTTTTGTGGTATCAATGGGGAGGGTCGCTCACACAGATTACCTTATAATACATGTGAAGCTAGAATTAATATCGCCATAGCATCATTAGAATATTGTCAACAGTCAGAAAGACTTCCATGAGTCAAAAAATATTATCATCAAACTCACAATAAACCTAAGTACAGAGAAGAATCATCCTCCTAATTCTTTTTTTACATGGAAGAGAGCAAAGAATAAACAGAACAAGAAATCTACTTATATCTAAGGAATTAACTGCCTTTCCCAAAACTCTCTGCTTTGGTGGCAAGACAGATGAGTATATGCAGAGAAGGTTGTACCTAACTGAATTCTATCTGGTTTGAACCAAAAAGGACAAACAGCTTTGAGAACTAAGGACACCTAGGACTTGGTTTCACTGTGTTTAATTCTCATGAGATTTCTATATTGGCAGTAACTATGACGGAAAAATAAGATACATGACTCAAGGTATGTTAATCTGAACCACTTTAGACATAATAAATTAGGATGCCACTTAAAACCAGTGCCCACCAGGATGAAGACATGCAAGGGGGTGCCTGCTACCCGCAAGTCCCCAAGTGCACTGCCCGAGTCAGCAGGCTCAGGGAAGGCAATACAGCGCAGCAGGGAGGTCCAGCACAATATGGTCAATGACTATTCCCACAGACGAGTACTGCTCTGCTTGACAGTTTATTAAATACACTACATTTGTACCTTATTTTGTAGTTTTTTTAAATTGTTCACACACAGACTTAGTAAAAATGTACTTTATAGAAAACTATCTGCAAAACTAAAATGAAAATAATGCACATACCACACACATATTAGATAAACTGATGAACTGTTAGGAATTAATTTAATTTGTACAGGTGATCATGAAATATTAGGTGGTTTGATTTTCTTAAATCTGGTACCAGACCATAACTTCAAAAATGTTAATGTTGAAAGGTAGTGCAAAAATGTCTATTAACAAAACTGCTTAATAATGTTGAGAAACAGCACAAAACACTTTTTCTTTTACAGATACCTTTCTAAATCCATTCTCAATGCATTCTCTCTCCCTTTCAGAGAATCAGTTGTGCAGACTGATGAGGTGAAAAATCAATTTCTTTTCAAAAAAAACAACAACAACAAAGTAGAGCCTATTTACAAAACATGCAAAAGAATTTTACGTAAGGTGTTACTGTAGAACTAGCTTAAAGGGAATACAGCTGAGGGACAGAATATACCTTTACTTCTACAAATATAGGTCCTTTTCCCTACTTTCTGGAAGAAATACATTGTTTAGGGCATGGGCTGTAAAACGGCATACAGTGCAAAGACAAAAACAAAGAGTGTGTAAATCCTTTGTATTTCCAGCCGGTGAGACAATATACTTCAGTGCTGAGGTTACCTCTAGCGGCGAAACCAGAGCCAGCTATTAAGCAGCCAGAATGCAACAGTAATTGAATACATGACCATTTCTCTTTTAGCACGTTCTTTGTTCTCCTCTTCTAGAAGTTGTAGACGTCTATTTAGTTTGATTATCTAAGTAAAAAACAATCATAAAATAAAAACTAGAAACTTTAATGCATACAGCAGATTCTTAAAAACTAGTGTAATAATTTGTCAAAAGAATTATTACAACACGGAAAGTTTCACTTGGAGCAAAATAAACATAACGACAAATAGAAAAAACAGTTACTCATGATAATGTAAATTCACTTAAATACTCTTTTCCATTTTCCTTCCTCCACTTTTGTAAATTAGAAGGGCTATACTTCCTTTCTTCCGTGAGAGGACAGTGTTAAAGACCTATGGTATTCTGGTACAGGCTTACCCCTGCAAAGAATATGGGACTCCCTCCTGCCTTTCAGTGGCCCTCCCATGAGCTTGATGGTTAGCTTCAGCTGTTCATCTCCAACTTGGTGTAACTGTCTTCTCTGTCCACTCTGAGGTACTGAGTGTAATTAACCTATCGGAGTGGGCCCTGTGATATGCCACTCAGATGACTTCGGGTCTGAAAGGCTAAAGACTTCCCAGCTGCTACAAATGTTGCTGGTTGACAGTGTCACCTTCAGCTAAGTATAGCTCTAGGCTGAAAAACTGCCTTGCTTAAGCCCACGTTCCCTTACTGATCTTTACTTAGAAAAACTTCATTTCATTCAATTTCCCTCTACATCTATTTAGCAGACACAATGAGAAGACAAAATATATTTTCCTCACATTTGTGTGTCTTGTAATTATAAAGGCTCTAGGAATATATATTAAAATATGTATATGCAATTGTAGTTCCAAGACACGACTTACTACAGAGTGCAAGAAATATATATAGACACTGTACAAACTGAAAACAGTGATTTTCAAAATAGATCATTAGACATAGTAACAGAAGTTCCAAAGTGACTGGTTCATATATCAAAAGCCAAGCAAGCAAATGGGTTCCTAACATGCCAAGATTCTCTGTGTTACTGGCCAGAACTGTATCAGTCCATTTTGGTAATACTGTTTTGTGCTGATCAAAATTATGTAGATGGTGGTTAATGGATCTTTAAGGTGGGAAAATAAATTATGGTTTATTTATTTATTTTGGTACTGGGGATTGAACTCGGGTCCTTGCACCTGCGGGGCAGGCAGCAGAACCACTAAGCTAAATCTCCGGCCTGACAGATAAATATTTTAATTCATGGGCTCAAGAGCAGAGAAGATGTTAAAATGTTATGAACCATCACTTTAAAATGAACATAGTTTAGAATTACACGTGCCACATGAAATACCTGTCGTCTTAATGAAGCTGCATCTACAACATTCATGTCATCTGCCGCTCCTTCAGCTGTTGGATCTATATTTGAAATGCCATATCTAGCAAATAAGACATAAAAAACACAAATTGGTATGAAAATAGAACCAAGAGTAATTGGAAGTCAGGTATTCTGTAATGCTCAGACATATTCTAAAGACTGGTATTTTAACAATATAAATCACTAAAATATTTTACCATCTGAATTAACATTAATGAAGAAAAAGAAAAAGCTTAAGATGACAATTATCCACGATACTGGGAAAGTACACTGAGGCTCCAAGAATGAGAAGAAACCCTGACTAAAGATACAAATAGACAGTTTTCAAACCAGGGAGATGGGCCATATGAAAGAGGACCCCTGGCTGGAAAGGCTTGAGAGCTGCCACTCTCTGCCAACACACTTCTTACAAAGCCTGCATCCATACATACGCAGTTCGACGCCAGGGGCTCAATGGCAGGGACTGCAAAGAGAAAAAACTAAATGACTTGATAATTTATGTCTCTCTCTCGCTATCTCTTCTCTGACCATTCTTACTTATTCTCTACTGTTTCTCCCGGAGAAGCAATTATAAAATCTTCTGAATATATCTTGCCACTACATACAGATACGGAACTGGCTCAAAAATAAATAATTATGAGGCTTTGGATAAAATAATAATACTGGAAACCACTTAAGACAATCCAGAAAAAGTTTATTAAATAGTACTTTTTGTTCAAATGCAGTTACTTCCAAAAGGACACTGGTTTTTAATGACAATACACTCCCAAAAAACAAATACATACGAATGTCAATCCTACCCTTTCCCTAGATTTCCACATTTTAAAATTTATTTTCATTAACAGCTTTACTAAGATAACAATTTATATACAATACATTTCATTCAATTCCCATTTTATATCCTGAATGGTTATTTCAGTAAAATGACACAGTAACTTTTCTGAGAATATAAAAGAACTGAATTGAAAGGTATTCCTATGCAATTCACAGAGAGTTGGTACATAGATGATCTATTTTAACATCCCCAGCAAGTCTTCATTACAAAAACCACCTTACCCTACAAAAGGGATATGAAGTAGAATCACATTTTTCATCTGGGCACATTATAGAAAAATCTATTCAGAAAATCCTACTGCTTCAAATGTTGAAAACAGTCCCCGAATACTTTAATAAAGTATGCAAAATGTAATTTAAATAATCGATGGTGTGTATTGACATTAGATAATCTGTAGCAATCTGTGAATGTTCCTTTTGTGGCTAAATTAGCTTCTTTTTCATTCACTGCCTCTTCATGGAAACAGTAAGAATCTTGGAATACTGAGGGTAATTAGTAAGTGGATGCTGGAACTATGGGTTTACAAACACCTGAGTTAATCATTCTTTGAGTACAGTATTAAAACCAAATTGTTAGGACTGGGGAATGTGGCTTAGAGGTAGAGCATTTGCCTACCATGTAGGATGCCCTGGGTTCAAACCCAGGCCAAAATGAAACAAAAACCAGAATTATTAAATGATTGGTGAAAAAATTAGGTGTAAGATTCCTCTTTTCTACATTTGATTCTCAAAAGAAAAATTTTCTGTTGCCTTGAAGTCATATATGTGATAAATAATTGGGAAAAAACAATCGAACTACAGCAGAAATTGACTCAAAGATAAAGGGACTCAGCCTAAACAGAAAATAAAATATAAATGAAAGGGATTACTCACAATTAAAATATTGAATTAACTAAGCTTTTAGAAATCTGAGAAGGAAATCTTCAATTGTAAAGAAATCTAGGGATACAGTAAAGGACTTTATATATATAACTTAAGAAATGTACTTTGAACTAAAATTTATATTTACCAGAATTAAAACCTCCATGAGAAATGCTAAGGCAGATCGCTAGCTGAAAATACTTCCACAAGTTTGACAGAAAAATATAAGGGAAAACTGCACTGGATTAAATTCAGACTGAGAAAGAACCAAGTCAGCAGAGCAGCCAGGGCACACTTCTCCTACATGAATTCGGGATTAAGAAGAAAGTGATGGGCATTTCCCCTTTGTTCTTGCTCTGGAAAGTGCCAGCCTCTTTTGCTTAATAGAAACAGTGTTTTCAGTTTTAAATCTACTGCTGCAGATAGTACATTTCTGTTTGAAATTAAACTGGTTCTGAAAAACTAGAGTAACAGTATCTGTAAATACCAGTTTTTGCTTTTGTTTTTCCTGAACAAAGTCAAACTAAATGGGGATTTGGTACTTGAGAACCTTAAAGGTTTGTATATTCCCTTCTACCTACCCTTGTGCATGACCGGAAAAATTACTCAGGCAAAGAATGACTGAAAAGTGTGAAAAGGACAAAAATAAAAGAGAAGGGCTAAAACTGACAGATGATAAAAATGCTTAAAACTAAATTTCCTTTCCAAATGTTCAACTTCCCAAACTATTGGGGATGTCAATGCCAATTTTTCCCAACTCAAGATAATGCATTGCAGTTAGGATTATATATACACTGAAAGTGACATTATAGATAATTAAAAACTAAAAAGGAAATGCTGGGGATGGGGATTTAGCTGGGCCAGGGATTTAGCTCAGTGGTTCTGCTGCCTGCCTTGCAAGTGCAAGGTCCCAAGTTCGATCCCCGGTATGGGGGGGGGGGATGCTGGACAGAGCCTAAACAATTCAAACAACGTACATAAACAAGATGTGAGATTATTGTGTCTAATATGATCTCCTATAAGCTACTAACTTACTGAAATGTCTCAATGTCATTTCATGCCATCCCACAATTATTAAGCATTTTTTCTCATCTACTATTGGCCAAATATCATGACTGCTTATAGACTCCTTGTTTTTAGAAAGAAGCAGGATTACTAAGAAGGGAAAGCAATAGAAGTTCAAGTTATAACACAAAGTCATGGCTATTACATGCATTATGTCCTGAAAACACAAATTCATCACCTCTGTATCCTCCTGGTAATTACAAAGTCTCAAGAGTTACCTGATGTTGTCATGATGAGGATTAGAAGTGGCGGCGGCAGACCCACCACGCAACACAGGTCTAAGGCGGGTTTTCACGGGAGAAGGCACAAGACAGAATCAAGAAACAGAGAAGAAAATAAAAGCAAAAACAAGACAAATAAATGTCAAATTGGATTATACTGTATGCTTCCATATAATGTATCTCTCAAATACTTTGAAAGATATTTGTCTCATATATCCTCCATTTTATGATTTTCATAAAATGACTTTTATAACATTTTACAGTTGACTGAAACATAAAGGAAATATGTGACAAAATAGCACCAACATCTAATTCTTTTTAGTGCTTATACTCTATGAAATTCAAGACTGAGGACAAGTATGTTTAAAAAGTATCTCTCTCTTCTAGTTGAAAAACAAGCATCACTGACAACTTTAAAAGCATGTCAAGAACCTATTAGTAGCACCTGCATGATCGTGGTTGCTCATTCACAGGCCTATCTCAAAACCTACAAAACTAAAGAGACTCCCATTTCCCATAATTCTTTCACCCCTCGCCCCACCCCGTGTTAATTCTGACTTCTGTCTGATGTCTTAATGTAGCTGTGTCTCATCCACACCTGCACCTCAATTCTGGAGCTGGGAACAGGGGACATGCTACGGACCTTACAGAAGTGCGCTCCAATGTTAGTCTGATTCTGAGACAACCAGGAGTGACATACAGGGCTGCTGGAATGAGAGCCAGGGTGCGCCGGAAAACTTTGTGGGGCTTTTCACTTGACCCACTACATATTATGGTGCCAGAGGACAATAATTCTCTACTTAGAGAAGCAGTAATCTTTCCGATAAAATTTGTTAAAATCAGAAAACAAAAGCTCTACATGTCCACTAGTCAACTGCTCCCAAAATAATCAGCAATATTTACTAGCCAGGGAAAGGAGACTGGGGTACAGGATCCAAGTAAGGATTTCAAGAATTATTAAATTCTATTTGGAATGTCTCAAAGTAACTGATCAAATTTTACTTGAATGTAAGTATAAAGGCAATAACTGTGGTAGATGTTTAACACCAAATGTTTTTGTAACAGTTGTAGAACAAAAATCACTATTTTCTGACAACTCAACTTATATTAGAAAATTTCAATGTTTAGTTTCTAGATGTCCTAGAAGTACAACCAGTGCTTAGTGATACTTCTAGAGCTTAGAGGCAGTGATGGCGAACCTTTTAGAGCTTTCAATGATACAAACAGCCCACTGTGGCACCTGTAGGTTTGCCATCACTGGCCTAGAGGATAAGGGATTCAGAGACTTTGGTGGAGGTATGCTTGACTTATTCTGTCAACTAAAGAATACTGAAGAAACACATATATTTGAGAAAGGTTTTAAACTCATCGCACTAACATTTGCTTTGTGAAATTAGGAAGAAATTAATGTGAAATTAATGAAATATAGTCTTGAATCACAAACCTGAGAACGGTTAACTAAATGAAGCCACTGCTGCATGCTTCCTAATGTGGTATTTAACATGTACCAGTATGTTCAAATGGGTCTGCCATATTCAACACTGTCCACCACAGAGATTTCCCTTTTATAATGCAGAGCCAGAAAATAATACGGTTACCTTTCACAACGTATTTCATTTTGTCTTCTTACACTGGCAATTGACACATATAATATAAAAGTATATTAGACAGGTATTTGACAAAGTTAGAAACTTCATTCAAGCACCACTTTCTATCATAAGTATGCTTTAATACATAAACCTTTCAATAGCATGTTTTGTAATTAGATCTAGCGGCAAAAGGAAGTCCAAAGCTACTGTATTCTAACATTAACTTGTATACTGACATTTTTGAGTAAACAGATGGTCTCTTAAGAGAGTATGTGCTTCTTTGCTATAAAAATGTAAACTGCTATAGTAAATGAACAGTTTGATTAGGGAACCAGGAATTACTCATTTTTTAAAAGAAAAATTTCAAATAACAAACACTATGTCAACTATGACTATGTTTTTAGGCCTTCTATGTTATATATTCATCCAAAATATAAATTACTCACACATCATTCTCTTATTCTATTTACTCACAGTACAATCTGCTCTGGAAGACCTACAAAAATAATCAAGCCCCTACTAAGAATAAAACAAACACAATTATCTGTTAATATTTAAATAACATTCTAATACACAAACTATCTCATTAAAAATGTTAATTTTTTTTTTCCATTGGTGATTCAGATATATAATTCTAACAGATATAGGAACAGACAGGCAATTTCTAACCAGCAAAGAAGTAAATCATAATACTATTTTAAATCCTCCTTCCAACTGAGCAAAGGGCGCAGCTGGTATCTGCTCCAGGTGCTTTAATAAATCTTTGGTGTTATCAGTTTTCTGAATGTACAGCACTGACCTATGTAAAGGAACATTTCTAGTGTGTACTTAGGATTTTCATGTTGAACTTGCTTTTAGATGATCTAAGTTCTCCTAAGATGAGAAAAAGAAAACATAGTGCATAAACCTTTTGTCAGTGTCCCTTAAGGTGTAAACTAAAACTAGCCCTTGGGTTAAGCTGTGAATTTGTATTACTTTATGACAAAACAGGCAGAAAGCTTTTTTCTTTCTTCCTGAAAAGTAATTCTAGTTTAATTATACTTAGTGTGATGGTTGTAAGACCAAAGATGCAGCAACAGCATAATAGCTAACAGTAATAAAATAGAAAAGAATGATGTACAGAGCAAGTAACACAAAAGCACTTAAAACTTCGTATGAGCAGAATTATTTTATAATCATGCAAGTAGAACATTATCCAAATTTCACATTCCCACTTTTTGTATCAGAAAAGCCATACTAGACACTTGTCATACTAGAAATAGTGATTTGACACTTAAAATTCTGATCCACTCCTGTCCAACATTTAGATTATAAGGGATGTGAATACAAGTTTTAAAAAATGCACTCATTTAGTAATGAATACACGGATAAGACTGATAAGGAACTACCTACCCCTCCTTCGATAACAACTAAAGGAATATATCCAGGAGCAAAGTATTATAATTCCTTTCTCAATTTAAAAATATCTTATGAGCCAGGGATTTAGCTCTTTGGTTCCGGCGCCTGCCTCAAAGGTGCAAGGTCTCAAGTTCAATCCCCGGCACCACAAAAAAAAAAAAAAAAAAAAATCAAAAAACCTTTTGGGTCGGGGATTTAGCTCAGTTGGTTCTGCCACCTGCCTTGCAAGCGCAAGGACCCAAGTTCGATCCCCAATACCAAAAAACCAATCTTATTTAGGTGAGATAATTCTTCCTCAGAGAAGGGATTTCAATTTACAATGTTAAAAAAAGTAAAATTTTACTTAGCATTCCAATATTTTATACTAAAAGAATACAAAGTAAAGTCTATATTAGTAAGATTTCTGATGTTATATGTTTGAATTTTAGGCAATTTCTTTTTCCATCATGTGGGGAAAAAATTCCTGTATCCATAGTTCCATATTACCCCATCTGTTTGTGTGGGTGGGAGGTAGGGCAGATAATCTTGATGTACTAGGAATCTGTTCCATCTAGCTATTATTTCATCTGTATCACACTTGGAAACATTTTTCTCATTCAGACATTATCTCTGTAATATCATGTGATATGATGTACTCTGACAATGATCCAGTCTCATCTGAGGACCTTTTTTATAATGAAAACTACAGAGGATATCTGGTGGAGAATACACCTGTTTAAAAGGAGGGAAATAAAAATGGGCCTTTGCAAATATAAGCTTTTCAAGCTAGGTATTTTATATTCAATATCATGAGGGATCTTCTATCATACTAAATGAAGAATCTGAAGCCCTATATCTTAAGTAAAGGTGGGAAAAGGGAGATTACTCACAAGACTCCATAAAGCTAGGTGTTATTATTAAATCCCCCCCACCCCGCCCGTTTTTGGTACTGGGGACTGAACTTGGGACCTTGGACTTGCAAGGCAGGTGGCGGAACCACTGAACTAAATCCCCGGCCCTCTTAGGCACCCTTTTAACAGGTGAGGAAAAGGAGGCCCAGGGAAGATGAGTCATTCACTCAAGGCCAACATGCAGCAACGCATCCAGCGGGACGGACCAAAACAAGTCTGGCTGATTCCCTGAATCAATGCTTTGTATTCTGAAACTTGCTTCTTACAGCTTTCAAATATTCCAAGACAGTCTCTAAAGCGTTGAAGAACATGAAAAGGACTCTTAAATATGTCGTTTTTATTTTATAAAAAGTATATATAGAGAGATTATATATATACATATACACACACATATATATGTACTATGTATGATTTTCCCTCTATGCTATGATTTTTCTCTTTTTAGTGTACCCTGAAGTCCTTGGGCTCAAATGCATACCATCAGATTTACCCCGGGAAGGTTTGGAAAGGCCCTAGTAAGTACTCAAGAAATATGGTGAAAGACCTGGGGTCTTCTGAGAATTAAAATTGACCAACAAGAAAAGTTTGCTCAAAGTGAGCCAGAAGATACTTCAGTTTTTAAGGTAAGAAATAAGGTTTTGTGGGACAGTCAGTTTCATTTACTAGGAATTCTCCAAAATGCAAAAATTAACAGCCCAATACAACAATAATGAAAATTCAAACACTGACTCTCAGAAGCCATTACATAAGTGTTCAGAGTTGAAGTTACAACAACTTTATCTTTCCCGTATGTATCATGCAAAAAACTCTGGGGAAACTTCATCGTTTAAAAATACCAGTAATGAAGCAAGGACAAAAAGTATTTGGAAATGATTGCAAAAAAAGACATTTGTATGTACAGAGCAAAGAATACTATTAATGATTTTACTAGATGTTCAAAAGTGAGATACATTATCAACGTTGGAAGATATCAGTATTGTAAAAAAGACAGTATCACCTGTGCTTTTTAGAAGTCTAGAAATCTGTTCCTAAGAGGGAAGGGAAAAAATGCGCTGGCAGTTAAAATGACACCTTCTAAGACTTGCATTATCAATCATATTGGTAGCATAACTGATTAAATCCAAAGACTTACTAAAGAAAATTAGTATGCTTCAGTCCAACATCCTACTCAATGCAATATAAGTCCTCAGTATATTCCCAAAATGAAATCAAGTACTTAGAACAGGTCAGCAAAGTCTAAAAAAAAAAGTTATAGGAACTAAGTATTCTTCTAACTGAAGGAAAGCTAAGGTACAGTCTTGCGAAATGTGAATTTTGGACAATAATTTCAAATTAAAAGAAAGCAAAGCAAGCCATTTCAAACCATAGAAAGAGACTAGAGAGTGCAAACATAAAAGGAAGACACCACAATCCACTAAAGGAGCCAAAAAATACGCAACACAAGCTGGCAAGAGTCACTGACGGCCAATCACCTGCGATTTTCATCCAGCACATCCAAGATCTGCTGGTAAGCCCTACGAGTAGAAGACTGGATAAGCGACAAAATGCCACGAGCAGAGGAAAGATTAGCTCCATCTTCAGGTAACATATGGGGAGGACAGGCCCGGGCCTGTGGTGGCGATGGTGTCACACTGTTTACATAAGCACAGCAAATGAAGAGAAAAATACTCAAGTCAGATTTTTATAAAACTTCAGCTGAGTAATTTTTAATCTTAGTTTTCCTGACCCCTTTTCTCACTGTTCACTTTTGCCCAAGAAAGTCAAATGAAAGTTATTAAGCATTTTGATTTGTTTTAAAAACCACAGTGTAGCACCTGTAACTTTGTAACCTTAAACATCAAAACAAACAATATGAAAAAACAATTTCAGTAGGAATGAGAATTACAGTAATGAAGGTATTCAACCTTCAGCTTTGCAGTGTGGTATATATTCCAATTCAGTGGACCAAACTGCTAAGAAACAACACTGCATTCAACTTATGGATGACCACAAGAGTGGGGTAGAGAATTCTGGTATACAGGTGTCAAAATCTAAACCCCTGAAAATGCCATTTCAGATACTTTACAAATAAAGACAATGACACAGCTGAGTTAACAAGTAAATGACATTAAAGATGCATCAAATTCTCTGAAAACTGTAAAAAAAAAAGCATTGTCATTATTTAATTATAGTAAAGTATATGATTTCCAGTTAAATGACTAAAACATAAAACTATTCCCAATTCTGAGCCTACAGTGAAAGGAGGCAAGGATACTTTTCCAATTATCAAGACAGCTGATACCACTTCTAGGCTTCTCAGTAACAGGATCTTAATCACTCCATGTGTGAGCTGAGATTCACAATTTCTTTTGGCTCCACTGCCTGTGCTCCTGACAGCTGACCACATATCAGAAATTTGTACAGTCCTAGCCTAAATTGCAAGAGCTGCTCCCTATTGAAGAGCTGTTTAATATCGGAGCATGAGGAGCTATGTGAGGCATTTAACTGATGGACACAGTGGCATCTGGTTTGTTATGATAAAAGACCACACCTGTGGGATGACGGTTTAACATTCTCGCTCTCAGGGAAAAGAAGATTAGGTTAAACTCAACCTTTATGTACTACATTCAAAAGAATAAAAGCAGACCACACGGGGAAGAACTGAAAAAAAAAGAAAAATCCTTTTATTTGACTGTGTTTTCTACTGTAACATGGTTTGGAAACCACAAAGTAAGATTTTTTGTGTGTGTCAAAGGATAGTTACTGTTATCTGGTAAGAGTCCCAGAGTCTCAGAAAATTTAAGAAACAAAATCTCCAAAATTTTGTAACTTTCACTCTTTTGACAATCTAAAGAGAAATATACAATAAATATGAAAACTGTTTTCCAAAGACTATTAGAGAGAAAGTTCTAAGCCAAATCTTGGCATATTCAGCAATTAATCTTTGAAGGCTGATTTACCACAGGAATTAGACCTCATGGTGTCAAATTTTCAGACAGTCTTGTGGCTAGTAACCCTAAATCTGGACCCTTATAAGCCGATCTACCTAATGACCCACAAGACTTGGCAAAACCCATACTGGGCATCCTAGAAAAGCAAACAAAATAAAACAAAAAACCAAAACAAACTCCAGAACGTCTAGGATACCAAGCCTATGTGCTCATCTTATACTCAGAATTCTTTTTAGGGAGCACAGAAAAAACCTAAAGTTCCTGCTATTTGTGAGAATCCAAACTGAGATCATATTTAAATAGTATCACCAGAGATAGGATTTTAAATGGTCAGTTCCGTGTCAACATACTGTGTATGTTAACAAACAATTCCTCTTATGCTGATCTCAACAGAGCTGCTGGTGTATCTGGCTCAATTTACTTACATTTTAAACAACTAGTCCTTTTTCTCTGAATTCTGGGGTTTAAATTAAACATTTTATACCTCATTTGATAGTAAATAAATTAGCTACATACTAATACATTAAACACTATAACAACATCTAGAATTATAATCTTAAAGGAATAATGTCAATGAACTGAATCCAAATCTATCAATCAAGTTGGATGGATTTTTGCCCATTAAAAATTAAAAGGAGCCGAGGATTTAGCTCAGTGGTTTTACCGCCTGCTGCGCAAGCGCAAGGACCCAAGTTCGATCCCTGGTACCAAAAAAAAAAAAAAAAACCTCAAAAATTAAAAGGAAAACCAGGCATGGTGGTGGATGCCTGTAATCTGTTTTTTGGAGGCTTAGGCAGGATGATCAGAAGTTCAAGGGCAGCCTGGGCAACTTAGACCTTGTCTCAAAATAAGATTTAAGAAGGAGTGGGGATTTGGTTCAGTGGTAGAACACCTGGCCTAGTATGTGATGGGCCTGCGATTAAACCCAAGCACTGCCAAAAATAAAAAATAAACAAAAGAAAGGTAACTTCCTCTGAGCAAAGTCACTTTGCCAAAAACAATAAGGAATTATTTAAATTCTAAAATTATAAATATATTTTCTGTCCATATGTAGGAAATGAAGTAGTAGTAGAAGAGCCACGCGTGAACTAACTTCAGATTAACAGCAAAGAATTCTTTTGTGTGTATGTGATACTGGGTATTGATACCAAGTCCTTCCCACTGAGTTGTATCCTGAGTCCTCCTTATTTTATTTTTTTGAGACAGGTTCTCATTAAGTCGTTAAATTGCTCAAGCTGGCTCAAATTTGCAATCCTCCTGCTTTAGCCTCCCAGGGTGCTGGGATTATAGGCATGCTGCCACCATGCTAGCTTGACAAACAATTCTTTTTTTTTTTTTTGGTACCGGGGATGAAACTCGGGTCCTTGGGCTTGCGAGGCAGGCGGTGGAACCACTGAGCTAAATCCCCGGCCCAAACAATTCTTAAAACAGAATGAACAAAAGGCTGAATTGTAAAGCAACCTATATGCATATCAATGACTAATTTTTTTTTTTGGTACCAGGGATCAAACTCAGGACCTTGGGCTTTCGAGGCAGGCAGTGGCACCGAGCTAAATCCCTGGCCCTCAATGACTAATTTTAATATCAAATAACAGAGACATCAACTAATAAAAAATTTAAAAATATTTTTAAAATCTCTTAAGTCTGTGATTATATGAAAGTGGAATACGGTTATAAACACAATAACAACAAAAAACCCTCTTATATGATCCTCAATTGTAACTTAATAAAAGTACTTATATAAAGATAAAGGATGAGACTAAGTCCTTCACCATCCCACTGTCTGATGCTAGGAATCAAATCCAGGCCCTCATGCAAGCAAGGCAACTGCTCTATCACTGAGTTACATCTCCAGCCCCTGAAATTAAACCTATATCAATACTAATAAAGATATCTATGTCATCAAAACCCAAGTTCAAAGAACTACTTAGTTGTTTATCAAGAGAAATTAAAAGTTTCAAAGATTAGTAATAAATTTCTTCTTGTTCTTTTATATGGCAGTTCTCCATAAACGGCAAAAACAGAAGAGGAAATGCATCTTTAAACTCCTTTTAACTATTTGTATAGATTAAATGTCCTTGATTTTTAACATTTATGTTCACCTACTTAGGAACTGAATCATTATATTCCAAGATGTCTAAAACTACCTTAATAATTAGAAGCAATAAATAATTTAGCAAAAATTTTCTTTTTTTTTTTTTGTACCTGGGATCAAACTCACTGATCCCAAATTTTCTTTCTTTTTTTAAAGCTTTAAGCAGTCCTTTTACAAACACTGTACACTTAAAGACAAAGGAAAATAACCCTTACTTTAGGAATCAATCCTTCACCAGTTGGAATGTCTTCAACTAATATCAAATGTGGAGGGAAAAAGTGATTTTAGAATTGGATTTCATCTCTGTCCATTCATACCACACCCAACCAAGGTTTAGTTATTTTTTTGTTTTGTTTTTATTGTTTGAATTTGTAAGTGAACAGTGAAAAATAAAAAAGCAAGCGGCCGGGGATTTAGCTCAGTGGTTTTGCCGCCTGCTGCACAAGCACAAGAACCCGAGTTCGATCCCCGGTACCAAAAAAAAAACCAAAAAGGAAAGCATACTGTAAATGTACATATCACAATATTAGTAATTTAATAAAAATGCATTTTGATGAAAAATTGATCCTCATGATGTTACAAAACAACACAATCTCAACTTTTCATTTTTTAAAATACAAGAGAAAATTTTACAGAAAGGTGGTGCTTGCTGTTATTTCATTAGTAGCTCTACCTCATGCTTACATGAAATCTTACTACAAAGGTTAACATTGGTTAATGTCAAAACTAAAATTTAAACTTCAATTTACTCGCATAATTATGTCATTATCAAGAGGTTAAAGTCAAGTACCTCTTGCCCGACAGTTTTCACAGGAATAATGTTTCTCAAACTGTGAGATTAACCTCTTTAGTGAGGCATCAACCACTTGCAAAAATAGCATGGGTACGAGGAAAAAAGGCACGAACATTTTCACAAAACACAAGCAATATTAATTTCTCTCAGAATTTTAAATAGAGAGAAAACTAATTTGCTGCCGTTATCGAAGGCAATTGACTACATTCCTCGAAGCCTAAATAGTAAAACTAGAATAAAAGAAAAAGATTGGCTGTCAGTGTGGTTTCTTCTGTCACTTAAGAACGACGCATGCTGTCAAATTTTTATATTGTACACTAAAGGCTACTCCTCACTAGAGGCCAGCCGTTCCCAGTATTCTTCTGTCACATAGAGAAGTGGGTTTAGTGCTCTCAAAAAACTTCTTCCAAGCACATCTTACATCTATGGAATTAAAAAAAAAAAAGAAAGAAAAACAACTTCAGTGACAAATCACAATCAAGACTCTATTCTTCTAGGCCAAAATAAAACATGAAAATAATACTGTGCCGAAATATAAAAAGTGACTGGGTTACTAACGTGGTTAAATTCAATCTATAGAAAACTAATATGCCAACCAAAGCAAAAAAAAGAAAATGGAAAAGAATACTTGGTCCTTATGTGTAAAATATTCCATTTTCCTTACACCAATGCGCCAAACCGTATAAAATAAATTTCCTTAATAAAATGTGATGACAGTTTGAGAAATCCTGAAGTACTAAAAGCCAAATAATAAGAGAATTAAGGTGTTATATTCCAGTTACATAGTGAAATAGATTAGTATTACATAAGCCTGCAAAATTAAAATGACTCCTTGTGAAAAGCAGAGCAGATAAAATCTTACGTGTACTCCGGTGCAGAAATCGAAGTCTGGAACCTTGAAATTTTATTTCTTGGGGCAGAATCTGATCTGTACCACCTTAAATAATAATTATGCTTCTTTTACATATGGAGCTTTCATAACACAAAGAAAAAGCTAGATATGATTGTCAGAATTAACTTCAGGGCCAATAGGTGAAAATAACCCATCCTACTGCTTCTTTAAAGTAATTCAGAAAACAAAGGCTAATGTCCCTGCTCTTACTGTCATTTGCACTGGTAATGTCAGAGCCACAAAAGAAAATAAAGTGTGGGCAGGCAAAGGTTCAGGCGTAATGATGCATAATCAATCTCCTATTACAAAGGAAAAGACTAAAGTAGGTCACGACAGCAAGAGTTTAATCATTACTTTAGTAGGGGTAAATTACAGCTGTACTAGATTACTAGTTTCTTTCTTAACTTACTAACAACACTGAACACATATGTTCAATTGTACAAAATTCCTAGAGTTAATAAGATGTAGTTCCTTAAAGTTCAATTATAAATCGTAAAATTAACGATGGGAAAAGCAAGTCAAGGGTTCTTTAATATAAAGATAGCAAGTATCTTACTATAAGATGGCAACATATATTAACAACTGTAGCAAATGCACAACCGAACAAAAAGCATGGTTAAGCATCTCGCTGTGAAAATGTATAATGCAATCATATTACTTCTGTATTTGTGAATTTTCATCAGCACATGTTCGCAGTACATTTCCACTGCCTGTGTGGAGCTGGCACATGCATACAAGCCCGCCTTAACTCTTTCTTTACCCCGCTTCCCTCCCTGTTCTCCCCTCCCAGCATCTCTTAACCCTTCCCGTTTGAGAAAGTCCTATCTCCCTACCTCCTATTGTCTTTTATTCTAAAAATTACATTCTCAAAACATGACATTTTCATTTTCTTAAACACCTACAAAGGCTAAAGAAAAAGAAAGGAAAAGCAAGTATTATTTAGCACTGTTAACTTTTTCTGTCATGAAGAACTAGTCAAAGTACTTATGGACCTAAACAATCAGTCGCTTCTTTACATACCAGAGAAGTTTACTAGAAGAAACCTTTGCTGCCTTACAAGAATATTAAGAAACCTTGAAAGAATATTACAAACAAACTAAAAACTTTAAGTGGGGCTGGGGATTTAGTTCAGTGGCACCGTGCCTGCCTCACAAGCGCAAGGTCCTGAGTTCGATCCCGGTACCAAAACCCCCCACAAAAACCAAAGAACAAAAACTTTAGGTGTACATTTAATCTACCTTAGCCATAAACTGTGTAGCTTTTTCACTATGTATTGGAAATATTCTGAAAAAATGAATTTTATGGGTTTGTTGACTTCACATCTTCAGGAAAACCCTAAAAAATTTACACAAGTAATGATTCAACCCTTCTGATAAATCTTTCCTAAAGAATATATATACCATTCTTGTCTCATATAATCCTTCAGAGTAACTGTAATTGCTCAATTGCTTTAGGAGACATTTCAAGTTCTCCAAGAAATCAGAGCAGTTAATAGTTTTCCCTTGCACCTAGCACACATGAATGGAATTTCAATAAAATAAACAAGCAATTTAAGCTGTAAGTTCACTGGCTGGTTGAAATGCAAAGCAAGGATAAAAATATGTGAAAAAAGTTCTCTTCTTATCTTGCACATTGAAGCCCCTGCCCCTATCAAAGTCCCTTCTGTAGCTCTATACTCTCCAGTCAGGCCCGAAGGAGAACATAACATGCTATCATATATATGTGTAACTTACTGTGATCTAATTACTTTGTATAAAAAAAAAAAAAAAATCAAACGTTTTGCTTTCATAGTTCCCAGAAAAACTAACATGATGCTTGACATCACATACAGTTCCTGATGAGTTCATGAAAATTGACCAAAAATTAGTAAGAAATAAAAATCTATGTAAACAATCTAAATAATCTATTTTTTAAGAAAGCAGCATTGCCAGTGATTTAAGATTAAAAATCCTGACCAGTTTTCCAGAGATATTTTATTTGTAAAAACTGATTAATTTTAAGCCAGGCGTGGTAGCCCATGTTTCTCCTTGGGAGGCAGGAGGATCGCTGCAAGTTCGAGGCCAGTCTGGGCTACATAGTGAGCTCAAGGCCAGCCTGAATTACATAGAGATGGCCTCAAAAAACCAAAGGAAAAACAAATGGATTAATTTTAATAAAATAATAAAAAGTACTTGCCTGATCTGAAACATGTTACAGTAGCTTTAAGATCAGTGTGTGATAATATAAAGGAATGAGAAAAGAGGGTTTAAACAAATAGTTCTTTAAACAACGTATGTGTAGTTTTTTAAAATAGAAGGGACCTAATAATTCAACAATCAGTAGGCAGAAAGCTAAAAACTACGCATGGACAAGAAGCTACTTCCACTCATCTGCGCTACACTGTTCATCACAGCTCACGAGACACAGGTGGGCTGGAAATGGCTGGTTTACAATCTAACGAGATTAAAACTTAGGGTAAAGACATCCTATTTGGTGTTTTCTTTTCTGATTTTTCAATCTACATGCCAAACATTTTTAAGACTGCATATAAGTGAGCAGTTATATTTATCAATTTGTCTTAAGTATATTTTATAGAAGATTCCCAGATAAACAAATCATACCTACAGAAGATTGTACACACACAGATGACATTACTGAAAAATTTTCACAACTGACAAAATGGCCAGACTATATAAAGTACTGCAAAAATGTACTGATGATATACATGTAAAACAAATTTCAAAAACTGTGCCAAGTTCTTTAGAAAAAGATGTGTACAGATAACATGCCAAGAAACTTACAAGGAAGACAGAGCTCAGTGGTTCTACTCACATAGAATCATTTCTGACCAGCTGTCCATTTTGGCGAACAGCATTTTCACTCATAGAGCGCTCTCTTTTTAGCCTGCCAACTGCACGGATCTGCTAAGGCACAAAGAAAAGGAATAGAAAATATTCTTAGTTATCTAGTAGCCGCTTTGCATCAAAGGAAGCTTAGTCCAAGGCTACCCAGAAAAAAATTAAAAGGAACCAAGAAAAAGCAATCAAGAATTGGCACCAGGCATGTGTATTAGAGACAGACTTGTCAAAAAACAAAACAAGACTCCTTAGTTATTATAATGTGGGTACACTTAGGAACATGTTTACTTTTAGATAAAGGCTATTCGGGTTTCTTAAGTCTCAATTTTACTTGGCACAATTACAGTCATTTCTCAGCATCTGCAGGGGATGGATCCAGAAAACCCCCAGATGCCTAAACAGTCGGATGCTCAAGTACCTTATATAAAATGGCAACGTATCCTTACGCACACTCCCATACATTAAACCACCTCTAGCTTACTTATAATACCTAATGCAATATAATGTCAATGCTATGTAAAGAGCTGCTTTACCCTATTATTTAAGGAATACTGGCAAGAAAAAGAAAGTTTGTACTTTCTTTTCTGTACAGACACAAGCACCGTGAGCCTAACTGCACAGCATTATGAGGTGAATAAAGCGCGAACAATGGATGCTTAAGGGAGACTAAGGGAGGGTCTGTGAAAAATTTTTTTCTAAAAACGGAAGAGTCAGTTTGAAGCCTACTATACGAGCCTTTGAAGGTTAATCCAAAAATCAAAATTACTTTTAAGAAACTATGTATAAAATGTAACTGCTCCATAATCAAGTGTCATTTTACTCATACACAGTGAGCAATAGTGGCTTGGTTGGTGAGACTCCAAGTGATACTGGCCTTACCTACTGCAGAGTTCGGGTTGCTTTCCCTTAGGTAGAACAGCTTTTCCAAATGTAACAGGGTCAAAGGAAATGTCTACTAAATCAGAATCATTCTTACCACTAAGTGGTGAGAAATAAGATTAAGGACAAGAAATGATGAAACACAAATATGTCTCCACATAGCCCTGAAGCTTGATAATCCTAAGGCTACTGCTATTTTCACCATGTGAAATCTGATTAAAGCACAGCTTAGCAGGGATGCTAACTCTGACATTACTGCCATACTATAATTTCGAAGAATTTAGGGCATATTAAAATCCCCTGCTATGGGCTTATGCTCCAAGTTATATTTCATTGCTCACAATCTCTAGTCTGTGTCAAGACTACCTCCTCTTTAAGAATGTGTTCACAGGCCTCAGCATCTCCCTTCATACTTGTTCTTGTTTTCTGTGCAACTTTCACTGAAGAGGGAAAAGATGAGTTAAGGCACGCTGAACAACGGATAAACATCCTCTCCTCTCAAAACACGCTCACTGTCTAAAGTTTAACATAACTAGCAGTTGGGAGAACAGTTGAGCCAGCGATTTCGGCTGTGGGAAGGAACCGTGGGACAATGTGTCACAGTGAAGACCCCATGTCTGGGTTATGCTATGAAACCGTAGCCGTACAAAGAATGTGAGTATGCATCAAAGAATCTTCCATGGATCAAAGTGCACGGTATAAAATCACACAAGTTACTCACTCTCACTTCTCTCTAGACTTTTATTCTGTGCTCATTTCAATCCTAGCTCCTCTTTTTCACAGATAAAGAAGAAGGGAGCTAAACAAACCAACACCAAATTGTGATCAAACTCATATCCATCAGGTTCTTCATTTTCTGAGTCACTGCAAGACCCTGTGAGGTGCCTGGGGAGTCTTCTGCATTTGCTCTGGGCTCTGTCATGCAGTTAAGTGACTTGACTCATTACATTTCACAGCTATGGTCTTTGGCTTCTCGTCCTCGGGGTTGGTTGTCATTTAAGCTGTACTGGGCCATCATAGTGCACTGACAACCATCTTCTGCTTCACAACAGGATTACTAAACCTAGAGTTTTCTGTTAGACAATCACAGCTTTGTGTTACCCTTTAGCTGTGGCTTTGTAAGTGTAATCTCTGATAAGCTCGGCTCCTACACCCTGAGATCTGGCTGTACACTGTACATGAATGCTACAGAATTCGGCATCCTGTGGATGCCACTTGAGAACTTCTGTACATGGTTTACTGAAAATACTCATTACCTTTGCCCTTCTCTTCCAGAATCAAGTCAAGGTTTATACAGGTCCTTCCCAGTCATCCCTGACTGTTGATACTTCTTGGGTATATCTGGAGTTTGGTGTTCCTCTCAAGATTATAGAAATGGATGGCACTCTAGTACTTCTCTTTTTTGAAGGAGTTGCCAATTTGGGCGAAAGCTCTTAGAACCTGTCTTTTAGAGTCTGTTTTCTCTTCCTTTATCAATGGACTTCTCACGAGGCTCTAGGCATTTACTGTAGCTGATCTTTCAAAATACATTGCTACTGACAGATAATGGTGGAATTAAAATCTTTGGCTTAGTCACACTGCTCAAGGCTGTTTCCAATCTTTTGGCATCATTTTCCAATTCTTTTTCCTCATAGCTCTCCCTTTCCATCCTCTGGAAGATCTCTCCCTGGCTCCAGTTGACACCCCTTTCTGAAAGGAGGTAGCATCAGTGCCACGGCCTTCCCATTCACATTGCTGGACCCACTGTGAGAACCCTAAGATTTATCACAATCTGGGTATTTTCTAGTTTTATGTCCAGTTCACAGGGTTTATTGCATAGCTGCTTTATAATTCCCTGTAGGGAGAATTGCCAAGCCATGCTCTTGTCCTAGAGCTACTTTCCACATACGGGCAAAGATCAGACATATTGAAAGAGTTGATCAATTTCCACCCTCCCAACCAAGTCTCCAAGTAATACAAACTTCCAATGAGCCAGGGGATTATCTGTATCATTTTTTCAGCCCTCCTCATAGGCTCACTTGGATTCATTGAGCCCATTTAAGAACTTAAATGCAGATGCTCTCTAGGAATTCATCCCTTCCATCAGTCAGGCTTTTAAACAATTTCAGTATTTTGCAAAAAACTTTCCAGGTAGTCTTCTTTGTAATGTAGGCCAGTGGTTCTCAGCCAAGGGTGATTTGACCTAGGGAATGCCCGGAGACATTTTCTTTAAACTGTACTAAAATACACATAATATACAATTCCCAATTTTAACCATTTTTAGGTTAATTGCACAAATTTAATACGATTACAATGCTGTGCATCCATTACCACAATTTAGTTCCAGAGCATTTTTATTACTCCAAAAGGAAACCCCTCAATGTTTATGCAGTCACTCTCTTTTTTTTTTTTTTTT